CAGATGACCTTTTGCCAAGAGCAAGGAGCAGCTTAACAAGCTGCAAGAACAAAAAAAAAAAGCTGTCTCCAGAAGAGTATCCATTCTAGAAATCTTCTTTACACCTTAGCAGAATTACAGACAAACTAGTCGAGTGATCCACTCTATTATTGAAGGGAATCTTCAGCTTAACTAGAGGATTTGGGTTTAAGCCTATTTTGCTACCATCGGTTTTGGTGCGACAAAAGTTCTGTTAGATCCAAGTACCCAATTAGTTTGTACTGTGTCTCAAAGAGTCGCCCTGAGTTACTGTGGTTCAGTGGAGAAACCAAAATTATCTCAGGGGATCTGAATTTAAATCCCATTGGAAGCACACAATTTGAATGCCATTGTCAGCTTCTGCTCCTCTTAAGACTGTCAAATAAGCTAGATAGAAGCATGCAATAAAAATTAAATAGCACATTGTATATTCAGAAAGCTACCTATCAGCACCAACATTCATTACCTTATACCTGGGCAACTATTTGGGCCCAAAGCACTACACAGTCAGAATGCTACTATTTTGCATTTACTTTACACAGCAGAAAATAAATGCACAAAATGCTGGGTACAGAGGAATGGAACCTTTGATGTTTTGAGACCAAAGCAGATGAGGAACACTGGGGTTTTAAAAATTATTTAGGAGTATGCAAGGCATAAACAGGGAAGTCTGGAAATCATCACAAGTATCTGTTTTTCATATGATTCTATAAAGCCCAAAGAGCATTCTGCTTTGTAGTTTTTGCAAGCCTTACGTTGTACTCTATCAAGAACAGAGGCATCTATGCATTGTGTAGAAACAATTAACAGTGCAGTAGTTTAAGTGTTGGACTCTGGGTGATAGGATTCAAATCCTGCTCAGTTATGGAAGCTCATTGAATGACGTTGGACAAATTACATACTTTTACCCTTAGAAGAAGGCGATGCAGTAACCATTCATCAGAAAGGGTTGAATGTGAAAAGATCAGAAAGAAAATCTGGGAGTATTCAATCAGCCTGGATGCAACCTTCCTCTAGGATTTTGTCACCTACTCTGTGTTGTCCCTGTTCATATTTCAAGCATCAAAAGATATTCCCTTTCCCGACTCCTGGCTAATGTACAAGGGACCTAATCACATTGAGGTCCTGAAACCGGGGAATAGCGAGGGCATTCAATGGGCAGTGGGGCAAATCCGACGGGCAGCGTGAGAACCCATTGCCCCGCATCACCTCTTTTCCCATCCCAAGGGTGAGCATTGCCGCCCAGCTTCTCCCTGTGCTTTCACCATTCTACCTTACGAGAACATGGGAAGCTTCCTGTGTTTTCAGGGCATCATAGGATGCTTTCAACACGGAGCCAAGATGGAGCCCCACTAGAAGTAGCCTTGCATCATGTAATGGACTCCATCTGGTTCCATGTTGAAAGCTGTTAAGGTGTTAGGAATTGTGGGAGTTAAAGTCCAAAACACCTGGAGGGGTGAAGTTTGCCCATGCCTGGTGTAGTGTATTTGCCCCATCAACACTGGGAAATTCTGGCTTATTCTTAGAGACCAAGGCAAAAGGGCAATCCTAGATTTCATTTTGAAAAAAGGAAGAACACAGTTTTAAGGGAGGAGATATACAATGATAAAGTTGCTATTATGGAGGGGAAAAGAGAACCTCTCAAATCAAAACAGAAATAGCTAGTGCTAAACAAAAGCCACTATGGCAAAGCCTGGAAATAGCCTGTCAACACACAATCAGAGGCCATAATGCGAGGAAACCACTTTATCCTCACATATATGTGTAGCTTCTTCAAGGCATATTAAATAGGAGAAGAGGCAGGATTCCATAATTCTTCACAGCAAGTGCTGCTAGGCCTCAGAACCTGAAAAAAGTTTGGGGCCAGAAGAATTATAGCCAAGATGACAAGAGGAAAGTGACTTTGGTTTCTCCCGCACTGCTACTGCAGCACAGTAGTGAGATTGTTCATTTTTGGTGTTTCTGTTTTAATTGTTATGTAATGAATTCTGTCCTGAAATTCTGTTACTGAAGGGCAATATATAAATATTTAAAAACAAATGAAGTGCTTACTCTACGATATAAGTGATTATATCTTCTATAGGCAAGCAGATGCTACATCAAAGGTACTACCAGCTTCTGGAGGGGAGGGGAGCCATAGCTGAGATGAAAGCAAGGAACGTCTGTCTCTATGTATGTAGGTGCAAGCAACAAAAGGTAGCAAGAGCTGCATAAAAGAATAGAAATGAAGCATTTCCCCTTCTATCAGCATCTGCACCAGAAGTCAGCTTTTCCTAAGATGGTTCATGACTGGGATTTATTGCAAGTTTCAAACAGAATTCTTATTGATTCTGCCCTTAATGAATGCCTCTTAGGCACGAGTAAAATCTGGTCAAATACTGCATCATCTTCACACTTACCCATTCATTCTGTATGAGTTCATTTGATACATTTTCTTTTGCTATAAAGCAGTGGTTCCCAACCTGTGGTCCACGGACCACCGGTGGTCCGCAAGAACGAAAATATGGTCCATAGCCTCCCCATTACTACACTGTTGCAACAAGAATGGCTGGTCTCGTGAAACCCTCTTATAGTGCCGAGGCAATGGGGATGTCAGGAGGGGAGAGGCTGACTATCCACGAAAGGCACATCAAAAAGCCTTCTGACTGCTGCTTCTTCTCCTCCTCCTCCCCCCTCACAAACGGAGATGTTCCATGTAGTGTCTGGAAGTGGGGACGCCTTGTATCTTTGCTTTTAAGCCTGTTCCAGGGGTTATTTGGGTGTCGATTCAGAAAATTGCATTAGATAGACCACAGCTCTAGACTATTAAATATGGCTTTCAGCGGGGGAGCAGATGGCGACTACTGGATGGCATATGTTCTCTATTAGAAAATAGAGCGGATGTGGTCTATCCAATACAATTTTCTGGATCAGCACCCCAAATAACCAAACTGAATCTAAAGTTGACCAAAGACTGGTTCGTAACACTTTTGGAACTAATGTTGGAGAGTGGTCCCTGGTCAAAGTGGTCCCTGGCCACAGAATGGTTGGGAACCACTGCTTTAAAGGGCATGTTTCACACAAGCTGCTAAATAAATGAAAAAATCCTTTTAAAAAAGTAAATATATGTCAATGTTAAGTAGAAATTCAATCAATAAAACTGTCTTCATCAATAGCAAGTTGCACACCATTTGCCATGAATATGTTGCATAAGTGTTACTGAAACCAATAGTCCCTTAGAAGAACATCATTAACATATGCAGAAATTCCTGGCAGTCTGCTCCTCCTGTATCTGTAAATGATGTACTGAAATTTCAACTTGCTTCTCATAAGTGCATTAAACTTGCATATGTTGGGATGTGTTAATATTGTGTAGGTTTTATAACGTGATATTTTTAGACTTTTATATGTGCTGCATGTTATGACCTGCCCTGAGCCCTTGGGATAAAGATTTTAAAAATCAGAACAGATAAATACGTTATGACAGTCTTTCCAGTATACTCTCTCAATTTAGAAGGAGCAAGGATATTTTCCAGCATTCCCACAAAAAATATACATATTACAGTTCAGAAATCAGAAGCCCATAAGCTTGTACAATGTGACAATCACTAGTATCATGGAAATACATTATTTGACAAAAGCAATTTTTAACTTACATATTTTTGTAAACCAATATGGTATCCAAATGGATAGTAGGCAAACCATTAAAGGCAATTTGTTTTTACCCCACATCCCTTCCTTAAGTGATATCTGCACCAGTAGAGGGCAGTACATTCCTAAGTAATAAAAGGCAGAAAGAATACATCTTGATATATTATATGCATAGCTTCCAGAAGATGAGGAAAAAAAGAGCCAAATCCAAAGATCTGTGAATTCAGAAAGAGAGACGAGTGTTGCAGTGACATTACAGAGTTCCAAACAGTGATAACAACCCAATAGACCAGAGATAGGAATCACCCGGTCCTTCAGATGTTGTTGGGCAGCAACCCACAGCTATGTTGTTTAAAGCTGCTGGGAGCTGTAGACCCATAATTACAACCTCTTCACAGACTTAATTCCTAAAAAGCTTTATGAAGCATGGTGGTCTATGCTCTTGTTACATCTGTATAGACTACTGCAATCCACTCTACGAGGGGTTGCCTTTGAAGATGACCTGGAAGCTTCAATTAGTCCTATGAGCAGCAGCCAGATTCCTAACTGGGATGGCGTACAGAGAGAGGACATCCCTCCTATTGTGTCAACTCCACTGGCTGCCGGTTTGCTAGTGAGCCCAATTCCAAGTGCTGGTTTTGGCCTATAAAGACCTAAACGGCTATGGTCCAACTTACCTGTCTGAACGCATCTCCTCCTATGAGCCAACAAGAGCTTTAAGATCAGCTGGGGAAGCCCTGCTCTTGGTCCCACCACCTTTGAAAGCTCAATTGGTGGGGATGAGAGAACAGGGCCTTCTCAGTAGTAGCCACCCAATTGTGGAATTCCCCCCTCCCCAGTGACATCAGGCAGGCCCCATCTCTTTCGGTTTTCAGAAAAAAGTTAATGACATGGCATAAACATTTGCAGAATGAATCATTACGGTTTTGACACTGTCTGAATAATGATTATGACCAAGGATTATGGATTAATGGAATCATGCATTTTATATGTTTTAATCTGTTATTATTCTATGTGTTTTATTGTTTAACTGTTTTAACTGTTTTTAGTATATGGGATAGGTTTTGTGACTATGTTTAAAGTGGCACTGAATCTTACCAGAGTTGTAAGCCACCTTGAGTCTCTGTACGGGGGTGAGAAAGGCAGGGTAGAAATGAAGCAAATAAACAAACAAACAAACAAACAAATAATATAACCGTTCCATTTTTACTTTTATCTCTGGTTTCTTCTAGAAGAGTATGTAATGTTATCTATTCCTGGTAATTTATTTACACCAGAATAGCCAGGCTGTTATTTGGTTTGTACATGCCGCCTGTCAATTTTCTAGTATAGATTTTATTTCTGGAAATTTCTCACAGTAACCAGTTTGTATTTGCTATCACAATATTTAAACAGTAAAATCATTCAAAACCCTTGAACAACAACATCCCATTAAAATTGTATATCACACGGCAGAAGAAAAACACCTTCAATAAATTGTTTGCCTTAGAATTGCCAGGAAAAAAAAAAACCAGAACATAAGGCCTAATTTCCACTCTCTTAGGCCATTTTTGATTATAATTAAACATATGATTATTTCCAGGCTCAAATAAAAAAGCACAATATGTATTTTACTTCAGATCCATCTTAAACCAGTGAACGAAAGGTTTCCACCTTCTCTTTGTACAGTTGGTAGAAGGAATTTGCTAAAATGCGAAAAGGAGCTTCATAGTTTTCCATTTCTTTCTGTAAAGAAAAAAAAAGATGGGGAAGTGAGAAGGAAAAGGTCTGGGTTAGTTATTTCATCAAAAAAAAAAAACTATTGCTGGAGACAACCCCAGCCAACAAGATTGAAGAAACAGTGGGTTTCTTGGGTTGTGGATGCAACAGAAGTGTATAAAGACACTTACAACTGAAATCTCACAATACTCCAAGCCATTGGTTTCTGCCCATTCTTGTGCTTGATTTCGCTCTATGACTCGCCTATCAGTCAAATCAGTCTTATTGCCCACTAATACACCTAGAAAAACAAAAAAGAACTAGAATTACATCAATTAATTATTATCAACAAGTACCACAACACATAGCAAGTTAGCATCGTACAAAAAGACAGGAAAATTTATTGTTTTACCAGTTAATAAATGACAAAATTCACAAGTGATATTTACTTGATCGTCCGGGGAGGCCCTGCTCTCGGTCCCGCCGGCATCACAAGCGCGGTTGGCGGGGACGAGAGACAGGGCCTTCTCGGTGGTGGCCCCTCGGCTATGGAATGCCCTACCAGCGGACATCAGGCAGGCCCCTTCGTTGCTGGTGTTTCGGAGGAGGGTTAAGACGTGGCTCTTTGAGCAGGCGTTCGGATAGCTGTGCAATTGCAATTAAATCCAGGAAGACGGCATAACTGAACAAGGAACGGCAATGGAATGTGAGAACGGAATCTGATTTTATGTGAGGCGTTGATGTCTATATGTGTGTCGTTTGTGTATGTTTGTCTTTACATTGTTAGTGTGCACAACTTTTACTGTAAACCGCATTGAGTCGCCGGTCACGGCTGATAAATGCGGTATACAAATAGCGTAAATAAATAAATAAATAAATAAATAAATAATAAATACTTTCCATATTTGTTAGAATGTAACTGAATAAACTCAGGAAAGCCATCTCCACCACTTGGAAATTAAGATGCAGTGGTCTGTCATAACTAATTTACAAGAGATACGGTTCAAAATATAGAGATCTTCAGTTTATTACCTGGTATGTGTATTCCAGAGGTCTGGGCCCTTAGCTTCTCTAGCCACTTAGTACAATTATTGAAAGATTCTTCACTGGTGACATCATATACAATGCATAGTGCGTTTGGCTGTTCCCACTGTGAAGCAAAGGGGAAAAAAAAACTGTAAATCATATGGAAATAGATGTGGTCAATAAAAAGTAAAGGAATTTCACAAAGACAGTTATTTTGGCAGATATAAGAAGCATCACTGAACCTAGGCTAAGAATAAAGGAAACCAATAAAAAAAAGATCTTGCCATCCATTCCCTATGGAAATAAACTTCATTTTCAGAGGAAAAGATAGATTTCTGTTTCAGCTATCCCCTACTCCAAAACACACCAAAGACTAAATAATAATAATAATAATAATAATAATAATAATAATAATAATAATAATTTATAACCCTCCCCTCCTTATGGCATATAAAACCCTTATAGTAGGCATTCTCAAATTGTGGCCCTCCAGCTTTTTGGGCCTTCAATTTATTTATTTATTATTTTATTTATTTGGAGTGCTTTTACCCCGCCCTTCTCAACCCCCTAGGGGGGACTCAGGGCGGCTTACAAAAGGCACAATTCGATGCCTAACAATTACAACATACAATACACTATATAATACACAAATTCACCACATAATATCACAGTTATAACTGATTAAAACCATCAGACAGTATCCTAGCAGCAATAAACATTTTGTGGTCAGTGTTCACCAATCCAAGTCCGTAAACCATTTAGCATCATCATTGTCCTTTCAATTCCCAGAATTCCTGACAATTGAATAAGCTTGTTAGGGCTTCTGGGAGTTGGAAATCCAAACAGCTGGAGGGCCACAGTTTGAGCATGCCTGCCTTATAGAATAGGACAACAGTCCCATATACACTGACTTCAGTGAACTTACTCCTGCACAGATATAATAATAATAATAATAATAATAATAATAATAATAATAATGTATTTGTTTTTCGCCCTATCTCCATGAGGGGACTCAGGGCAGATTCCAGCACATACAGACACAAGGCAAACATTAATGCATTGAAACAATGAAACACAGATACACAGATAAAGATAAAGGCTTTCCCTTTATCTCCAGATCTAGGGGGTGGTGCTCATCTCTGGCTCTGGGAGTGGTGCTCATCTCCATTTCTAAGCCAAAGAGCCTGCGAAACTGAATAGCTTGCGTTGTCCGTAGACACCTTCTAGGCGTCTGGGCGTCAAGGCACCAAGATCAACAAAATTCGCCAGATGTCTGGGGCGCAGATCAAAATTGCCAATCCAGTGGAAGGATCTACTGACAGGCAGGTTACCATAACTGGATCTGCAGCCAGCATTAGCCTGGCTCAATATCTAATTAATGTCAGGCTTTCTTCGGAGACTGGTGGAATGGGAAGCAGTTAGGACAATGCAACCGCCTCACTCATTACCCGTTTCTGCCGTTCATCCCCATGATCCATCTGTGTAGTTTCTGAGCAGTCAGCGATTCCAGGTTTTAACTAGTTTGTAAATTTTCAGTTCTACATGCTTTACCCATCCACTCATGATTTTTTTAATTGCAGCATTTTAATTCCTTTTCTCTGTTCAGCTGTTAAAATGCTGATCAATATTTTAGTTCATGCATGACTGCATGAAGCGCCAATTACCTTTCCACCAAGGTGGTACCTATTGATCTACTCACATTTGCATATTTTTGAACGGCTAGGTTGGCAGAAGCTGGAGATTACAGTGGGAGCTCACCCCGTCCCATGGATTCGAACCGCCAACCTTAGAGTCAGCAAGTTCAGCAGCTCAAGTGTTTAACCTATTGCGCCAGCGCAGCCCTTTGTGCCACTGCAGCCCCTTTACAGGATTGAAAACTACCCCATAAAGTTAAAGTAAAAGGAATCTAAATATACCAAAAAAGGTATATTTTTCCATATATTCTGATTTGTTTTGCAGAGAGCTAGCAAATGTTTTAGATGAGGCCACACTAACTGAAGGCTTTGAAGAGTCTACTTAAAGAGCAAACAAAAATAAAATGCTTATGGATTATCTATGTATTCGAAATTTACAATGTGAAGGGGTATATGCGGGTTCTTTGAATAAATAGGACATAACTAAACTGTACAAAATGACACAAAACACGCATTATTGCTAGATCAGACCAAGGCCTGCAAAAGTCAACAGTTTTCACAAGAACCTCAGCAACTACTAACTGGCCGGTGTGATACAACTTTTGTCCACTTTCCCTAAAAAATTTGTTGGGAATCCCACTATTCCTGCCTCATGATTCAGATACTATCAAGGAGAAAAGAAAGTGAAAATGATTACTCTTTCTTCTCATGAGTGTTTTAATTAAGATGTGAGGATCAGGTCCCCCCACTCCTCACACTGCATTTCTTTAAAGAAGACTACATATTATACTCACCAGTTTCTCAAGTATCTCAGCAAAGAGTTCCTTGCCTCCTGAATCAAAAAGGAAGAGTTCCTAAAATAAAGAGAAAAAACAAAAATCTTTCACACAAAGCACAGACATTTAATTACCGAATTCCTTCAGACCTGGGAGTAGTCACAAAAAAGAAGTAAATAAAATGCTTTTCCTCAGAGGCTATTCACCTTGCAAAATAGTATTTGTGTAATTTCGGATACACAAGTTGTTTTATTTTTTAACAAAGCACACCCTATTACCTGTAAACCATATTCTTATGACAAAATTGTTCCTTATCTCCAAAACTAGCCTATGGGTGAATGGTGGTAGCAAAGAGCCGTATCAGAGGGATGTTTTGTTATATTTACAATGTGCATTGACTCTGAAGTGCTTTCTCATTGCCATTAAGTCTCCAGGCCCAGCTTCTGCTTTCAATATCAGCTCGCTGTGTACACAAAAGGGCACCTGGGATTTTAACACAGCTACAGATTTGTTAACCAAATAGACAGGAGAACTCAATCACTACAAAATTCCTTAAATGAATCCAGTGACTTTAAATAAATCTAAAGCGTTGCCAATGTTATGCATTAATACAAACAGAGATGATTACTTGGACAGAAAAAAACCCCCCAACTGAGATAAAATAACTGAAAAATACTATCTCTAGGTAACATTTAAAATGCCCACACATAAACATACACTTCAATTTAAATGTTAACTGGGCTCACCACACTATCACTTGTCTCTGGAATAGGTACTGTCTTCATTAGCAGTTCTACTCCTGTTGTCTGTCAATCAGAATAAGGAAAACATGTCAGAAAGATTCAGAGAAAGCCAGAAATTATTTTCATACCAAACCTTCCTGGCGCCAACAGAAACCTTTGGAGCTTTCAGATAATCTCCAAAATATATCTAAATAACAGCTTTTCTTCAGTTGGAGAAACACTCAAAAATCTGAAAGATGGACGTTTGGGATCAGGTTGAAAATGCAACTATGCTGAAGAATTAAAGCTTATTTTTCACACAAGCTGAAGACCTGCTCATACATTTATTTCAGCAACGATTCTTGAAGAGAGGTAACGTAGCCTCCCTCTTTTATTTATACAGCAAATAGATGTCAGTTGGGAAACTGTAAATCTATGTGCCTGACATACACAATTCTCTTTCACACTGAACTTCTACAAATAGAGACTTCTGCACAGAGAGTATGTTCCATATTTCTTTAAGTAAGCAGTGCAAAATGATATAGGAAATGTTCCTGCATTTCAAGATGATTGGCTGCATAGGCCTTTGAAGTAGCTTGACACTTTTCTGCAAGTTTGCTCTAAAACAGCTTCAGGATACTTGGCAAAGATCATAACAGCACATAACACAAGATTAACATCTAGAGTTGCAAAGAGCACATCACCTTCTGTTTTCCACAGTTTCTATCATTCAACTACATGGCTCACCAGAGTATAGTTTTTTTGGAAATGAGCCCCATCATTGCAGAACATCTGGATCATGGCACTCTTCCCCACAGCGGAATCACCTGTTCAACAAAGAGACAGGAAAGAGCTCATTTCACTAAATACAACGTCTTCTTCCCTTTAAAAACTTACAGTACAAAAATACACTGGTTTTTCTTAAACTTGCATTTTTTGATAAAATGATGCAAGCAAAGAACAGCTTAATCCCATCCCATGTTTTCCATTCTTGTTCATTTCGATGTGAATATAGCAAAGAGCATCTGCCATAGGCCTGTTAGTATCAAATATTGTGAAAAATACAGTTCAAGCTAATTGCAGCAATGCGCACTTTCTTTTTAAAATAGATGTATTTTGAAAATATATTGTCAAAGCAAGCAAATTTTAAATCTTGCTCTTTGGTTTCGATATAATCAGCATTCAGGCACACTGTAAGCTCTTCGGTTTTTGTGATCACTCCTACTCTCATCAGTTCCTAATCCACCGGCAAAGGCACAGACCTGGCAGTAGTTATGGCATATAGAATATACCTGTGTCCATATATATTCTACATTCACTGAATTATTTCTGTAAAGCTTTCTGCTGTTCAGACTCTTGTATTGACAGTAGCATTTCATCAGCTAGGTTCCCTATAGAATAAACTGAAGTATGCATTGGGTAAGCTTTAGGTTTTGAATGAAATTAGAGACTCCTCGGATCCAGCTAAATTCACTTGGGCCACATTCCAGGGCCCTGGCGCTGTAATGTTGAATGGTTCCCTTCCATTTGAAGCTGGAATGTAATGTGACATTGGGACAATGGTCTATTGCAACATATTCTAGCATCCCAGTCCTGTACCTCAAAAGGAAAGCCGGCCCTCCAAATTCATGGATCCAATCACCTACGACTTGAAAAAAAAAATCCCCAAAGCAAACTTTGATTATACCATTTTACTACCTCAGTATATATAATAAGACTTGAGCATCCCTGGGTTTTGGTATCTGTGAGGGGTCTTGAAAGCAAACCCCAGTGAATACCAAAGGCCCACTGTATGTCTTTTCTCATTTTGTATATAATCACGGCTGCTATATTCTTTTTGTTTTTGTTCTTTGTCTTGAGCGTCTAAAGGGCCTCCTTGGTTTAGAATGGTTATTAACAGGATTTAGCTACATCTGATACCACATGTTGACAGAGCTGACTTGTTCAAGTGCTTTGCTATAGCTAAGTCCATACAAAGCTGTGGCATCTTGACAAAATCCTCCAGCTGGGTGGAAATTCATGCTTTCTACTATAGTTGCTACAGCCCCAATAAATGTCTCCGTTCCAAAGCTGCTATATACTCATGTTCCACTTAATGCCCTTTGGAAACCAAAAAATGAATAGTCCCTCTCCCCTTGCTTTCTTTTCTTCCTAGTTTACAAATTTGAAGGCAGAAGACTGTTTCAAAAGAAAACAGTTTTTTATTTTATTTTATTGCCTCTGTAAACCGCCTTGAGTTGCCTGAGGGCTGAGAAGGGTGGTATACGAATACAGCAAATAAATAAATAAATAAATAAATAAATAAATCATCTTTTCATTTAGGGCAGTTTGCAGAAGCAGCAAACCTAAAACCATCATAAAAAACTATTTGGGGAGTTTATATTTGGCAGCGGAAGATTACCTTTGCCTCTGACTTCACCTTCCTGACCTGTTTCTGTGTTTGCTTTTATAGATCACGAAAATTAACCTGAAGTGTCTGCTTTATTCTACAGCTTAATCCTAACCATGTTGACCCAGAAAGTCATTCTAACAGATTTCAGTGCAAATGATTTCCAAGGAAGTGCTGCTTATAGTTCCAGTCTCAATATAGCAAGAATTTGAAGGCTAAGTTCTCTTTTTTACCCTTGCCTAGTTTCCAACAGACCTCACAGCCTCTGAGGATGCCTGCCATAGATGCAGGAGAAACTCAGGAGAAAACGCTTCTGGAACATGGACAAACAGCCTGGAAAACTCACAGCAACATACTTTGTCTCCTTTTCTCAAGGGAAGAAAGGGGAGTGTGTTTTGGAGTCATTTTACATTGCAAGGAATCAGTTTCTGCTGTAGAGGGAAATAGGGATTCTTGTCCTTGGCATTGTTCTTAGGAAAAGGTAAAGGATGCGTTTTGAAGTTTGGTAGTTTTGAAACTGTGCTTTGGCAGATTTGGAAGGACGCAGTCTGGCCTAAAAGATGTTCTCATGGCAGAAGAATGGAGAAATGGTGATGTATGTAAGGTGATGGATGAAGGTTTATATGTTAAGGTGAATGCTGAATGAAAATGTAATTCCCTTTTTGTTTGTTTGTTGGCCAATGTAACTGTAGGTTGTTTGCGAAGCAAATGCAGTTACATAGAATCTGTATGTCCAATGTTGTTCTTTGTTTAAATCAGTAGTTCTCAACCTGTGGGTCCCCAGGTGTTTTGGCCTACAACTCCCAGAAATCCCAGCCAGTTTACTAGCTGTTAGGATTTCTGGGTGTTGAAGGTCAAAACATCTGGGGACCCACAGGTTGAGAACCACTGAATTAAATAATTGACATAATTATCTGTCAATTATTCCTCTCTCTTGGAGCTCTGCTTGTTGGACAACCTGCCCCGAGTACCTAAAACTGGACTTTTTGCCTCTGGTGTGCTAGAGAACATGACTCTGATTCCATCACCAGAAGGAAATGTTGCTCCTCAAGATCTCCTAATCTGAACATGCAGACTGGAATAAAATCTGCTGCATCTTTATAGTTACTAAAATCAATGCTGAGAATGTCTTATCTCTTTTGCTACTGGAATCAGTTCCTGTTGCAAAAAAAATAAATCAATAAATGTAAATGGGTAATTATGCCCATCAGCTGTTTGAGAGGGAGGAAAGGGGACCTTCAATCTATACCTCATGCCCAGATGTTGCCCTTTGCTTGTTTATAAAGCTATTGTCCTCCCAACCCTGCTATATGCCTACGAAACGTGGACTGTCTACAGACATCACATGCAACTCCTGGAACAATTCCATCAGCACTGCCTCTGGAAAATCCTGCAAATCTCTTGGGAAGACTCGCAGACAAATGTCAGCGTGCTGGAAAAAGCAAAGACCACCAGTATTGAAGCGATGGTCCTCCGCCATCAACTCCGCTGGACCGGCCACTTTGTCCGGATGCCCGACCACCGTCTCCCAAAGCAGTTGCTCTACTCCAAACTCAAGAACGGAAAACAAAATGTTGGTGGGCAGGAAAAGAGATTTAAAGATGGGCTCAAAGCCAACCTTAAAAACTCTGGTATAAACACTGAGAACTGGGAAGCCCTGGCCCTTGAGTGCTCCAGCTGGAGGTCAGCTGTGACCAGCAGTGCTGCAGAATTTGAAGAGGCACGAATGGAGGGTGAAAGAGAGAAACGTGCCAAGAGGAAGGCGCGTGAAGCTAACCCCGACCGAGACCGCCTTCCACCTGGAAACCAATTCCCTCACTGTGGGAGAAGATGCAAATAGGGCTCCACAGCCACCTACAGATCCACCAGAAAACTGATCCTGGAAGACTATCCTACTCGGCCAACGAGGGATCGCCTAAGTAAGTAAGTAAGCATGCCCAGATGTTGCCCTTTGTTTCAAACAACCTTCAGAGGTGGGCTAGGAAGTGAATTGTGCATATAGCATCATTTAATCCATACAACTCATTGATCCAAACATATGCTGTCTTCATGTGATGGGAGTTGAAGGTTAAAACATCTGGAGAACCACAGGTCTAAATGTTGTTCTGTAAAAGTTCTTTCTCTTACTGTTAAATTGCAATTAAAAGATTTTTTTTTATTTCGAGTACTTTTACCCCGCCCTTCTCAACCCCCGAGGGGGGACTCAAGGCGGCTTACAAAAAGGCACCATTCGATGCCTACATAAAATACACATACGTATAAAAACAGCAATCAAATAATTAACACAGTTAAAACAGTCAATATATAACACAATCAATAAAAAACTAATTTCAAGCTCAGCGTTCGTCTTTCGGAGTTCCATAATTCCATTCCACTTTGTCAATTCCTGTCCATCGTCGAAGTCCTTCTTTATCTGCCTGATTGTCCAAATGCCTTGTCCCACATCCATGTTTTCAATTTTTTTCCTGAAGGAAAGGAGGGATGTCACTGATCTTATTTCCCCGGGGAGTGAATTCCACAGGTGAGGGGCCACCACCGAGAAGGCCCTGCCAATTTCACTTGTGATAGAGGTCGAGAGCAGGGCCTCCCCAGAAGATCTTAGACTCCGAGGTGGGATGTAGAGCTATGTTTTAAAGTTATTCATAACATACAGGCTATGCATTGTCGAAGGCTTTCATGGCTGGAATCACTCAGTTCTTGTGGGTTTTTTCGGGCTATATGGCCAAGTTCTAGAGGCATTTCTCCTGACGTTTCGCCTGCATCTATGGCAAGCATCCTCAGAGGTGAGGTCACCTCTGAGGATGCTTGCCATAGATGCAGGCGAAACGTCAGGAGAAATGCCTCTAGAACATGGCCATATAGCCCGAAAAAACCCACAAGAACTGAACATACAGGCTGTTAGGAACTGTGGGAGTGAAGTCCAAAATACCTGGCAGGCTGGTTTGCCCATGACTGGTCTAGATCCATCAAGCCATAGAGGAGCCTTTCTGGTACACACCAACCAACCAATCAACATACAGGCATACTTTGACTTTTATATAGTGGTTTTCAACTTGTGGGTCCCCAGTATTTTGGCCTACAACTCCCAGAAATCCTAGTTAGTTTACCAGCTGTTGGGATTTCTGGGAGTTGAAGGCCAAAACATCTGGGGATCCACAGGTTGAGAACAACTGATCTAGACGATAACTATCACAACTACCTGAATCCCTCACCTATGGAGGTGATGAAGCAGCTGTGGGCCCCTGGGAGTTGTAGTTCACCAAGTACTATTTCCAAAGCATTGCAGACTAAGAAAAAACGACTACAACCCTTGTTGGGAAAGTGAGCCACTTGAAGAACTCACCTGCCACGATGCATTTGGCAGCCAGCTTCACCATGGCCTACAGGACCCTTCACCAAGGAAGCCCTTCTTGGGAGTTCGCTAGAAAAGGGGGTTCTAGGTTCTGGACTTCAACTCCCAGAAGCCTCAGCCACCTTAGCCAATGGTGAAGGATTCTGGGAGATGAAGTCCAAAACTAGACTTGGGTCACCACTGCATTATGGTATGGTGGAGAATACAAAGGAGAAAGCGCCCAGGCCTCTGCCTAACGGGAGCCACGATCGGAGGAGGAAAGGGCTTCCTCAGGTCTCCTAGCAACACCACACTACGCTCTCAGGTGCCTCCCCCCGGCACTGGCACAGGTGTTAAATCTCCAGCTCCAATTGGGTACACTTCGTCCCCGCCTCTATTCCCATTGGCTTTCGCTCTCCCTTTCCCCGCCGCTATTTTCAATTTCCTCGCCTTATTGGATCTCAACCCACGCCAATCTAATGAAAGACAACTTGTGATTGGTCGATTTTACTGTCAATCGTGTTCAAAAGCTTCCCTGTTCTCCACCCCCGGGCAAGAGATGAAGTCATGCGAAGTTACAGTTTAGGCGGCGAAAATCAGTGTCTTTTCTACCCAGTAACGTATGATACGTCACGAATCCTATTTTGTGATTGGTTATGGTGAGGAGGACCGTACCACTTGGGGCCGGGTGAGCCCTTGGAATATTCTATCGGGGAAAAAAGCGTGTTTTTTATGATAAAATGTTGGAATAATGTTCTAATTCAATGGTGCTTTTCTCTGTATGAGTCTAAGAATCCATAACGATTCAGCGGAGGAAATATATTTATCCCCCTCTTACCCATTTAGCAATGGATCGTTCCATCTCTTTATGCATTTCCTATATGCTCGCTCGTCTCCCTCGTGGTTTAACGCAAGGTTAACTGAGTCTTTCGCGCATGCGCAGTTTAACTTTCACACACTCCACTCCCACCCTCTTCTGGGGCTAATGCCACATTGCAGAATTATACCAGCTTGATACCACTATATCTGCCTTGGCTCATAGAATTGCGGGGTTTGTAATTTGTGAGTTTTTTCCTTAATTCTCATATTAAAGAGATCTGATGCTAGAACTCTAAAGCATTGACCCATTGCAGTTAAAGTGGTGTCAAACTGCTATAATTCTGCAGTCTAGATGCAGAGTGCAGGAATGGGTTGTGCTAAGAATATTAATTTTCAACAGGTCTTGGCCTCATGTATACTTTGTTACATAGCAATCACTTTATTATTATTTGCTTTGTTTTTCTAAAGAAGCTAAAGTGACAAACAGTGCTAAAAGCAATATAATATTCTATTTAAAGACTATAAACACTAAAATAAGAATTAAATCTAGAGTTTTTCTAAAATGAATAAATAAAAATAAATAAAACACATTAAAACCTGGTTGTTTATTCGTTCAGTTGCTTCCGACTCCTCGTGACCTCATGGACCAGCCCACGCCAGAGCTCCCAGTCGGCTGTCACCACCCCAAGCTGCTTCAAGGTCAAGCCAGTCACTTCAAGGATGCCATCCATCCATCTTGCTCTTGGTCGGCCCTTCTTCCTTCCATTTTCCCCAGCATAATTGTCTTCTGCAAGCTTTCCTGTCTTCTCATGATGTGGCCAAAGTACTTCAACTTTGTCTCTAATATCCTTCCCTTCAATGAGCAGTCGGGCTTTATTTCCTGGAGGATGGACTGGTTGGATCTTCTCACGGTCCAAGGCACTCTCAGAACTTTCCTCCAACACCACAGCTCAAAAGCATCTATCTTCCTTCGCTCAGCCTTCCCTAAGATCCAGCTCTCATATCCGTAGGATACTACGGGGAATACCATTGCTTTAATTATGCAGATCTTCGTTGCCAGTGTGATGTTTCTGTTGTTGTTCATTAATTCAGTCATTTCCGACTCTTCGTGACTTCATGGACCAGCCCACTCCAGAGCTCCCTGTTGGCCGTCACCACCCCCAGCTCCTTCAAGGTCAATCCAGTCATTTCAAGGATGCCATTCATTCATCTTGCCCTTGATCGGCCCCTCTTCCTTTTTCCTTCCATTTTCCCCAGCATAATTGTCTTCTCTAAGCTTTCCTTTTTTCTCATGCTGTGGCCAAAGTACTTCAACTTTGCCTCTACTATCCTTCCCTCCAGTGAGCAGTTGGGCTTTATTTCCTGAAGTATGGACTGGTTCTCCTTGCGGTCCAAGGCACTCTCAGAGCTTTCCTCCAACACCACAGTTCAAAAGCATCGATCTTCCTTCACTCAGCCTTCCTTATGGTCCAGCTCTCACATCCGTAGGTTACTACAAGGAATACCATTGCTTTAACTGTGCGGATCTTTGTTGCCAGTGTGATCTCTCTACTCTTCACTGTTTATCGAGATTGGACATTGCTCTCCTCCCAAGAAATAAGCGTCTCCTGATTTCCTGGCTGCAGTCTGCGTCTGCAGTAATCTTTGCACCTAGAAATACAAAGTCTGTCACTGCCTCCATGCTTTCTCCCTCTATTTGCCAGTTGTCAATCATTCTTGTTGCCGGAATCTTGGTTTTTTGATGTTTAACTGCAACCCAGCTTTTGCACTTTCTTATTTCACCTTGATTTGAAGCCTCCTCAGCTCCTCCTCGCTTTTTGCCATCAAAGTGGTATCATCTGCGTATCTAAGGTTGTTAATGTTTCTTCCAGAAATTTTCACCCCAGTCTTGCATTCCTCAAGCCCTGCACATCGCATGATGTGTTCTGCATACAAGTTGAATGTTGGTTGAGAATATACAACCCTGCCATATGCCTTTCCCAATCTTCAACCAGTCTGTTGTTCCACGGTCAGTTCTTATTGTTGCTACTTGGTCATTATACAGATTTCTCAGGAGACATGCATGGTGACTTGGTATCCTCATACCACCAAGAACTTACCACAATTTATTATGATCCACACAGTCAAAGGCTTTAGAATAGTCAATAAAACAGAAATTGATGTTTTTTTGAAACTCCCTGCCTTTCTCCTGGTTGCATACTGAATAAAACCTGGTTGCATACTGAATATTACAATTTAGCTGTTTGTAACTACTGTGAACTGCTACCAAGACAAATACATGGGACATAAAGCAAATTAAGACTGATCCCTTCTTAGAAGCCAAGATGACAAAACTGATACCATCATACTTTGAACATACTGCAATACATGACTCACCAGAAAATATATTGCTTAATAAGATAGAGGGCAGTAGGGGTAATGCTAATCATTATTGGAATATGAGATACAATGAATATTAGAAACCAAATATCAAATGAACAAACTGAAAATATGAATTTTCAAATGTTCAATGAGTCAAGCAGCTAGAATACGCTAAAAAATGGAAGAATCCAGTGAAACCTAGATTATAAAAAATGTTCAAAATAGCAGAAATGAATAAACTATCATGTTTGATAAAAGAGAACGCAATGGAAACCTTTCAACGACCAGATGTGCATCTTCACTGTAGAATGAATGCAGCTTGACACCACTTTGGCTGACATGGCTCAATGCTTTGAAATCCTGGGAATTGTCCTTTGCTGAGGCCCTAGCATCCTTTGGCAGAGAAGACAACATGGTTTCATAGCACTCAGCCATTAAGAGGTCCTTCCATACAGCCCTATAACCCAGAACATCAAGGCAGAAAATCCCACATTATCTGAGTGTGGACCTAGATAACCCAGTTCAAAGCAGATATGGGATTTCCTGCTTTGATATTCTGGGATATAGGGCTGTGTGGAAGGGCCCAGGGTCAAACTGCATTAATTCCTACCAGTGGGTATATCTTCCAACCTGTCTATCCATTGAAAAATGTTCTTTTGTTCTAACCTGGCACTGGGTTGCCAGATGTTGCTACGCACCTTCATGTCATTTCTGAGTTATGGTGTTTCTATCACTGGGTTTTCTTGGCAAGATTTCAGTAGGTCCTCTGAGGCTGAGAGGATGTGACTTGATAAAGGCCACTCAATGGGTCTACATGGCTGAGGCCCCTTCTATACTACTATATAATTCAGTACCTGATCCCAGATTATCTGCTTTGAACTGGGTTATATGGCACTGTAGACTCAGGGCCCTCCCATACAGCCATATAACCCAGAATATCAAGGCAGGAAATCCCACAATATCTGCTTTGATCTAGGTTATCTGAGTCCACACTGTCATATACTCTAGTTCAAAGCAGAAAATGTGGAACTTTATTCAGCTGTGTGGAAGGGGTCTCATATAATCCAGTTCAAAGTGGGATTAGATTCTGGATTATATGGCAGTTTAGATCCTGCCTGAGTGAGGATCTGAACTGTGGTCTCCAGAGTGGTATTGAATGCTGAAATCATTACACAATGTCGGTTTGCCATGCTGTCTGGTTACTCTGGTTCCTCCAAATTCTTGGCACATTTATGTAGGATGACTTCCCACCCATTTCTACAGTCAATGGACCCAGAACAATTTCTGGACCAGCTTGTAACGTGCCTCATTTCTGTGACAGTGGGAGAACCGAGCCCAATGACCTAACATGGAGCTGTTCCCTGGTCATTATATGAAATCAAGATCTATGGTTATCTGACAGACTATAACGTCAAGGTGGAAAGTAAAAAACAACACAAGTAAAAAAAAAGCAGGGGAGGAACTACAACTGATAAATAAACGTTGATTCTCCAACAAATAAAACAAATAAACTGCAAAACTGGTGAAGACCACAAATTCTAACGCTTGCACCTGAGCACACAAAGCTCTCATTTGTAGACAGTGCTGTAAACAGTACTGCACAAGGGAAAACTTAAAAAAATACATCTGTCCTTTATGGCTACCTGAGGGACCCAGGATAACAATTTTTAAATAAGATAGCAGAGAAGGCAAGGGGTTTGCTCTTGACATAAGTGTGGAAAAGGTTGCTTAGGATATTCACTCGAGACTTACATGTTGTCGGTTCAGTTCCCTGTTGTATTCCTTTTCTTAAGATTCAATTCGCACTATGCTTGAGCTTTCTCTCTGCAAAGGTTATCCCTCTCACACACATATGCTTACATGTGCACGCGCACACACAAGCTTAGATACCCAGCAATGCCTGGGTTAAATCCAAATAGTTTTGGATTTATGAATGGTCCGCTTAGAAAATGCACAAGAAAATGGGTAAACTACCACTCCCATCATCCTCTGTCATTGCCCCTCAAAGCCCACCAGTATTGAAAGCTGGTCATGTTGAGTGTGTGTGCCAGGTTTGATCCAGATCTGTCTTTGATGGCATTCACAGTGCTCTCTGGATGTGGGGTGAACGGCAACTTCCATGATCCCAGGTCCATCCCACCCAAGCTCCACCAGTATTTTAAAGTTGGTCATGAGGGGCCTGTGTGCCAAGTTTAGT